CCCACAGCCAGGCTCCCCCGGGCGGGAACGGGTGGCGGCCGGGGCTCTGCTGAGAGGGAACTGGGGAAGGGGAGGAGGTGCCATGTCTGCTCCCCTCGCCAGCCTGTGATTTTCACACGTGCTCGCACAGTCACAATTCACCACGTGCCCAGATCTCCATCCGAGAACGACAGGGCAGGGACTACACAGACCTTTGCAGCACAAACTCGGCACCGAAAGAGAAGTTTCAGCTGTGGGCAAGGTTCCTGGTGGAGCACCCTGGACAGGGCCTCGGAGGGCGACTGCACTGGTGTCCCCCTTCCCCGTGGGTGGAGGGGCCCTGCGCTCCCTCCCGTTGAGTTCAGGACCCGACAGGCCACCTTGATGCTTTCCTGTCAGGGAACGTAGGGCTCTCCAGACACAGGTCAAACACGGACTCTTCTTTTTTGCAATGATCTCAGGAGAAGGTTTAACAATGTCTATTAAAATGCATCCCATAAAACGATAGTCTGTTTCGTTTTTCCCAGAGTCGCAGGGTATCGGTACTTGTGCATCAGATAACTTTTCTCTGTTCTGTCCCACAGCCAAGCAGGAGAGAACGACAATGGTCCAGTTAGTAGGAAGCAGTGCAGCCAAGAGGTGTAGACACGATCCCCCACCACGGATCTTGGGGCTCCGGTGATCTCTGCTTTTCATGGATTTGTCAGACACAGGAAAGCATGTCCTGTGTGTCAGGCACTGTTCTAGCTCTTTAGGTTTTTCCAACCACACTTGAAGGAGGTATTGCCATCACCCTCAATCCACGGATAGGGAAAGTGGCCCAGAGAGGTGCAGACATCTGCTCCAGGTCACTTTAGCAAGTAAGTGCCAGGCGGGATACGGTCCTGGCATTGCAACCCTCTGCCCTCTGCCCGGTGCTGCCACCTGGGGCTCCTCACAAGCTCCCCTTCCCCGGTGCACACTTGCCAGTGTCCACATTCCTGCAAAGCTCTCTCTCCTTCTGGTGAGCTCCACCTTATACCTCTCTCTCTCCATTTGCTGCTTCCTTGGCTAACGCTAGCATCTTCTGCTGTGCTAAAGGCCCTGTGAGAGCGAGGACCATGGTTTTGCTCCACTGTGTCACCAGAGCCAGAGCCTAGGAAGCACTGGGGAGCCCCATATGCATGTGTATTATTTCTAGATTACATACCATATAGTCCCTCTCCTTCCTAACTAATGGGTCCCTAAGATCTGCTGAAAGGAGTGAGAAATAGGGTTTGAGGAGTTGGGGAAAGGTCGGCCAGGCACAGACCCTCCCTCAGGTCGGCTCACCCTTTATCGAATACCTCCCGCAGCCGACCCTGGAGGTTGGCTAATAAGACAACCATTCCCAATCTCCTATTCCTTCTATCCTAATACTTATTTTCCCATGTTCCTTTTAGTTAGAAGTGCCAAGTGACAGTTTCTACTTAGCAAGAAGTAAGGAGAAGTCCCAGCGTTCTGGGAAAGCTTTGCCTTCCTGATAAAAGGGACAGATGCAGCTGTCCTCATCCATTTCCTCCTTTCAACTGAATGTGATGCCTGGAGCTGTGGCAGCCACTTTGTGATCACAAGGCACCACTCATGAAGATGAAAAGGCAATGTACTAAGGGTGGTAATAAAAAGATAAGCAGACCTGGGCTTTTGATAACTATAGTTCGGTTGCCGAGCCAATGCTTACAACCCTCTACGGCCATATGACTTGTTACTGCAAGAAAAATAAACTGCACTTTGAAGAATTAAATCACTGGGTAAAATCATTTTAAGTTGCTTAAGCGTTCTGTACTTTGCAACTACGAGTAATTCTTATGGACACACCTCTCTCATAAGCAAATCTAAGTGTCTCCTTTTCCCTACCTTGAAGCACTGTTGTGCAGATTTCAATGAGATAATGATTTTCTTAGTGCAGTGCTCCATGCACACTACCGTCCTCCCCAGGAGGACCGAGGCCCGGGAAGAGAAGTGAGCTGTTCAGCTGGTTGGTTAAAGAACCGATGGGGCAGAGGAGTGGGAGAGCTGACCTCCCGCCTGCCTCCCGGGCTGTGCAGAGAGGCTGTGCCCATGCTGGCTGGGGGTAGAGCACTTGGGAAGGAGTCACAGAATGAAATACAGGGGCGTCCAGGTGTTGGAACCCGGCATCTGGAAGACTGACAAAACAAGACAGGGACTCTGCCTGTGTGGGCTTGGTGGGGGATGGGGGAGAAGGGGAGGGGTCTCGTAAAGGAGTAGAAATGACCTGCAGTGATGTTTCTGTGCACTCCAGGCTCTGAGGCAGGTGCTCTGTGGGTTAAGACCTGCCAAGCCACGCTACAGGCTGGCCTTGGACAGGGAGGGATTATTTCGGGGCTACTTCCACAGAGATGGAGACATTAATGAAAGGTCATCAATTAATTCATGATGAGAGTCAGATCAGAAATAGAAAAACAGTTATGGTCTTTGTGACTCTTAGAGATAAATTCAAGGGAGGGACGTTGAACACACTGAGCTGAGGGACATGTTTACCGGTTGGTTCCAGATCTTAAAATGCGCTGTAAAAGTTAAGAAGTCTGTGCACCTTGTTCCCAGAAAGCACAGTGACCAAGGAGAGGCCCCCAGGCCAGGTGACAGGGGATTGACAAAATCACAAGACAATTCCAGGATGGGGGTCAGATGTGGGGCCCTTTACTCCCTGTCTGTGTTCCTGGGGTCGAGTGCTCCCACTGTCCCTGTGACCCTCCCCATCGCAGGACAGGTGACATGAGGGCCTTGCCTGTGGGAGCCCCGGGATGAATATGGGGAGGCCACCGATTCGAGGAGGCTCTCCCAAGCTGGTATTTGTGTGTGGAGGTGCACACGGTGTACACGGTGCACAGGGCCAGGGAACATGCAAGCGGCGTTCCTAACGCAGGGGTGTGGTGCAGGCATCTATAGGAACAGTGCCTCTCTGATGGAGCCAGGACAACGAGGGCCCATCATGATTCCTGGCTGGTGTCTTTGGGGCCCATCTGGGACTTCACTCTGGTGCCCAGTGACAACAAGGTGGAGGGAATTCTGTGAGGCCCTCAAGGTTCCTCAAGACTGAGAACCAGACCTATACACCCACCCCAGCCCCTGCATGTCAGCATGGTGTAAACCCAGCTTTGGAGCCTGGCATGCACCCTCTCCCAGACCTCCAGGCTCTCTGCCGTCCCCACTGGCACCTGCCGGCTCAGCAGCCCAGTGACCAGAGCTGCTGTCCTGAGAGGGCCTTTGGCAGAGTGAGGAGTGCCTGCCCTTAGCATCTGACCTCTGGGGCTCTGTTAGGGGCGCCCCTTAAGATGTGTGTAATTATCATGCTGGCGGGTCTTTAATCAAAGTCATTTGATGATGGTCATTTTGGCAGTCACCATCTGGGGGCCTGTGTCAGGGTGTCAGGCGCTGGGTGTCAGGGGCTGGGTCCATGTGGGGCTCCGCACACTTGCTTGCAGACACCTACTGTGTTTTAAAATGGGTACAGGTGCCCCCACAGGATGCGTTTAGACTCTGCAGCGACCCATCTATGCAACTAGATAGATCCTAGGCAACTTTCCAGCCAGGGTTGACAGAGCAGTGGGTCTAGTAGGGGTGAGCGGTGGGGGGGAACTGTTCTCAGGGGCAACTCTAGACATAGCTCGGCTTGCTATGGCTTGGGGAGGGAAGCATCTAGGGAGAGGGCAGGGTTGCTGCCAAACATCCTATGGCATGAGACAGTCTTCTGCAAGAAAGAATTCCCAGCCGAGATGTCCCCTGTGCCCTGGTGGAGACACCTGGTGACAGCTTGTCCCATTTATTTATTTCTATTTCTTAAAATATTTATTTATTTATTTATTTATTTGAGAGAACGTGTATGAGACAGAGTGAGCATGAATGGGCGATTGGGTGGGGAGGAGCAGAGGAAGAAGCAAACTCTCTGCTGAGCAGGGAGCCCGACCTTGGGACTCCATCCCAGGACCCCGGGATCATGACCTGAGCCAAAGGCAGATGCTTCAATGACTAAGCCACCCAGGTGCTCCCGCCCCATTTACCCCCATCTAAATGGCTGCCCTTAGGCCTGGTACGGATGTGCCATATTTTACCTAATGGTGTCCTTACTGATCGACATTTACCTTATTTCCAGGTCTTCGCAAAAAAGAGAGATTATCAATAAGCATTTTTTATACGTGTAACTTATGCACTGGATAGCCTTCTGGAAGTAAAATTTCTTGGTAGAGAGTTGTATACAGTTTAAAGTGTTGATGGGTTTTGCCAAAGTGTTAAAATGTTGCACCATCTGCTCTCTGGAGGACGGCAGGGAATAGGAGGGCCCCCCTATTCCACTCTGCTCTCTAGTGTTTGCTGCCATGTGGGCAGAAGGACAGAGCCTTATCTCATTGCTCTCCAGCTCCGCACACAGCTGGCATCATGTGGGGCACCTGCTCCCGCCCTGAGGGATCTACCTCAGCAGTGGTCTTGCGTCACTACACTGGGCATGCACACCAGCACCCGTGACGATGAGGAATGAAAACCCACGCATGGACAAGGGCGATTCAGCAGCTGTGTGACCTGGAGGAGGTCTATACAACACTTCATTTGTGGGAGAAGCACCACTGAAAAGCATCTAGGGGAAACCTTTTGTAAAGAATTATTCTGAAAATGGGTTAGTACTTAAGTTAACATTCATGTAAATCTTGATTTTAAAACAGGTTGACATTTATTAACTAAAGAGGGATTAAATACGAAGCAGCTTTCAGCTGTTTTGTCCTTAGTTTATGGGGTTCTAAAAGGCAAGTCAAATGAGTAGAAAAAAATGTTACCATTTTGTGTAAAAATAGTGACTTTCAGAAAATAGCTTACAATATCTGCCAGGGACTGTGTTTTGGGGATCCATATATCTGGGACATGGGAGAGTGTTTGCACCCCTGGCAAGACCTTTGCTTTCAGTGAACTTGGACAAACGTGTAGCCAGACAAAAGCATAGCGGGGTGGGGAAGCAGCGCCTGCAGTCCCTGGGGTGTGCGGGCTCTTACCAAGTCGGTTGCACGGGTTCCGTTTGAAGAGGGCTCTCAGCAGACCCTGGGCTTCCATGCTGAGGAACTGCGGCATGCCCAGCTTGGCTCTGAAAAAGCACAGTTGTAGTGTGAAATGACAAGGATGACCAGAGTTTTCTCTGGCATTTGGGGATCCTGCTTGGTCAACATTGACAGACAGATCGAATCAATGTGACCCAGGGCAGCAGCACCCAAGCTTTTTGGTCTTAGGGCTCTTTGGCACTTTAGAAATTATTTAGGCCATCAAAGAGCTTCTGTTTATGTGGGTTATATGGCAGACATTTTTATAATAGCTTTTTAACAATTTGCTAAAAAATAACACAAACATTAAAAATGAATAATAAAAATCCCATTAATAGAAGTAACATTTTTAATGCAACTGAACTCTGTTTTCCAAAATAACAACCAAAGCTTTGGCTTGAAGAGTGCTACTGTTTACATTTTGGGAATCTCTTCTGGGTTAGATGAAAGCCAGCCAGATGTCTTTTTTTTTTTTTTAAGACTGATTTATTTATCAAAGAGAGAGAGAGAGAGAGAGAGAGAGAGAGAGAGAGAGAGAGAGAGAGAGAACACACGCAGGGGTTGGGGAGAGGGAGAGAGAAACTTCAGTATACTCTATGCTGAATGTGGAGCCCAATATGGGACTTGATCCCAGGGCCCTGAGATCATGACCTGAGTTGAAACCAAGAGTCCATCACTCAACTGATGGAGCCACCGGGCACCCCAATAGCCAGATACTCTTACTCACCTCTGTGTTCAATCTGTTGCAATACTATGAAGAAAATATGGGACTTCAGAGAACTAGAACAAATAAGCCTAAATTTGTGTGGAACCACAAAAGACCTCAAATTGCCAAAGCAATCTTGAAAAAGAACAAAGCTGGAGGCATCACAATTCCAGATTTCAAGTTATATTACAAAGTGGTAGTGATCAAGATAGTCTGGTACTGTCACAAAAACAGACACACAGATCAATGTAACAGAATAGAAAACCCACAAATAAACCCGCAATTATATGGTCAATTAATCTTCAACAAAGCAGGAAAGAGTATCCAATGGGAAAAAGACGGTCTCTGCAACAAATGGTGTTGGGAAAACTGGGCAGCCACATGCAGAAGATTGAGGCTGGATCATTTTTTTATACCATATGCAAAAATAAACTCAGAATGGATGAAAGACCTAAATGTGAGACCTGAAACCATCAAAACCCTTGAAGAGAGCATCTATATCAGCCCTAGCAACATTTTTCTAGATACATCTACTCAGGCAAGGAAAATAAAAGCAAAAGTAAACTATTGAGACTTCATCAGAATAAAAGTCTTCTGCACAGTGAAGGAAAAAACCAACAAAACTGAAAGGCAACCTACTGAATTGGAGAAGATATCTGTGACTGACTCTCTGATAAAGGGTTAGTATCCAAAATATATAAAGAACAGATACAAATCACCATCCCCAAACAAATAATCCAATGAAAAAAATGGGCAGAAAACATGAACAGACATGTCTCCAAAGAAGACACCAAGATGTGGACAGACACATAAAAAGATGCTCAACAGCACTCATCATCAAGGAAAGAAACCAAAACTATAATGAGATGTCACCTCACACTTGTCAGAAAGACTAAACCCCAAAACATAAGAAACAACAAGTGTTGGCAAGGATGTGGAGGATGTGTAGAAAGAGGAACCCTTACACTGTTGGTGGGAATGCAAACTGGTGTAGCCACCTTAGTAAACAGTATGGAGTCCTCAGAAAGTTGAAAATAGAGCTACCCTATGATCCAGCAATGATACTAACAGGTATTTGCCCAAAGAATACAAAAACAGTCATTCAAAGGGATATATGCACCCCAATGTTTATAGCAGCAATGTCCACAACAGACAAACTATGGAAGGGGCCCAAGTGTTCATTGACTGATAAATGGCTGACAAAGATGTAGTGTATACATATATGTACATATATAGTGGAATATTATTTAGCCATAAAAAGAATGAAATCTTGTCATTTGCAAAGGCTTGAATGGAGCTAGAGAGTATTATGCTGAGTGAGATAAGTCAATTAGAGAAAGACAAATACTATATGATCTCACTCATACGTAGAATTTAAGAAATGAAACAGATGAGCAAAGAAAAAACAGAGAGAGAGACAAACCAAGAAACGGACTCTTAACTCTAGAGAACAAACTGATGTTGCCAGAGGGGAGGTAGGGAGGGAGATGGGGGAAATAAGCAAAGGGGATTAAAGAGGACACTTATCATGATGAAAAAAAATATCCAGTAATCTAACTTCTTCAAATAACTGCAAAAAAAAAATCTGGTAAAGGAGGAGCTTCCAAGCCCCCAGGAGGGTCTTAGGTCTCCAGGGGTCCTCAGATCATGCTTTAGGATCCATGGGGCAACAGTTTTGTGCTGCTCCTTCAGAAATATTCAGTCACTCCTGGAACAAGTAAAGATCTTGTTCCCCCTTAAAATTAAGAGAAAGAGGGGTAACCAAGGCAAAAATAACAGACTGTAGCCATAGATATGTCACCCACAATGAAGGTAATCTGATACCAGAAGACACTGAGCAAATTCTATGAGGCTTCCTCCACTAATTTCTCTCCTTTCATTTATACAATGGTGTAATCTACAAAAACGTAAGCTTTTTAGAAGACTCTCACTTTCATAAAAGTGACCCGTCCATCTGCAGCATTTGAGAGAGCTGATTGTGAGGACCAGCAGCTTTATGGCTTGTCCTTCAGGTGCAGGAAGTCCATGCCCTCGTCTAGCAGGGGACTTCAATATGGAGCTGGGATCCACCTGTTCCACAGCCACTTCCCCATTCCCAGCAATGCTCCTGCTTTCTCCTCCCAGATGTCTCCCTTCTGACATTGTGCTTAGATGGAGCCTGCTCACATTTAAGGGCTTATAGCAAGATGCTGGGTGTAGACTTATTTCTAGGATCCTAAGAGCAAAATCCATTTGCATGGTAAATGATTCTTCGTGAGAACTGAACAGAAAATTTGTATTCAGTCACATGGGTAACTTTGATTCCTGCCAAGGTCAGGCAGAAGAGCATGGGTACCCACATGAACGGGGGTCAAGAGATAGAAAAAGAAAGGGAACTCCCACTCTAGTGTTCTCTCTGCAGTCCCTCAAATCTGTAGTTTGAAGGTCATCATCAATCATCACATCGAAAATCCCTGTCATTGGACAACATATGCAATTTTCACTGATGGAAAATGTTATCTGTGGTGCAAGACTTGTCAGGATCACCTGGCGATCCCATTCACTCTCCATTGTAATTAAAATGCCCAGAATGTTTATTATGGTTATTGCTAATGCCTACTTAATGATCTAGGTTTCCAGGACTGAAGGTATTGATATCAGAAGGTGCTAACGAGTATTGGATGGATTTCCAAGGGTAGGTGTTTTGTACTCACTTGAGGATGAGGGCCATGGTCTCCTTTCTGTCCTTCCCCTGGAACGGCAGAGATCCCGTGAGCATCTCAAACTGCGGAATAACAAAGAACAGGGAGAGCAAGTGTTCAGACCTACCGGATCTAATAGCAGAGAGTCCCAGATGGGCAAAATGCAACCACAGTTCATTCATCCATTCAAAATCCTGATCCATCAAGCACAGGTGCTGGCCAACATGCTTTGCGTACATCAGTGAGCAGAATGGCCTCATGGAGCTCCAAGTTCACTGGGGAGGTGGACAAGTGATAAACACAGGAAGTATTGGATTGCAGCAAGAGGTGCTGCATTCGTGGACACACAAAGAGGGGCGCGAAGGGAATGGTGATTGGGCTGGACACCTTCTACGAGGTTATTTGAGGACCCCATCCTTCTCTGGGTGGGTGCTATGGAGGGGGCCAGGGCAGAATGACTTCATTCCATCTACAACATCTGGTAAAAACACTGTGGCGCCAATAACATCTCCAATACAGGCTTCCTCACATTGAAATAATAAGTGGACCTTTGCCAGGATGGCCTCTGTGATAAAGACAGGATTGAGTGTCAGCCTTCCCTGAGCATGGATTTCTCTCATGCAAAAGCCCTGAGGACACAGGCTCTGGAGGCAGTGGCCTGAAATCCCAGGGTATTACCACAAAATCATGCACACCCAACCCCTTCTGAAGAAAGGTACTAGGGCAGCAGTGCCACCAAACCCTGTCCTTGAAAATAGGATACTGAATCTAGCTGACATGGGCCATAGCATCGATCCCAGTCTGTGTCTTTGTGTCATTTCAGGTTACTGTTGAACCTTGAACGACACAGGTGTGAACACCATGGGTGTGAAATACCCACTTACATGTGGATCTTTTTCCAATAAATATGGTACTATACTGTAAATGTATTTTCTCTTATGATTTTAACAACACTTTCTTTTCTCTAGCTTACTTTATTGTAAGAATACAGTTTGGAATACATATAATGTACAAAATGTGGGTTAATCTACTGTTTATGATATCCTAAGGCTTCTGGTCGACACCAGGCTATTATTAGTTAATTTTGAGGGGAGTCAAAAGTTATATATGGATTTTTTGATGACCTTCAGGGGTCAGCGCTCCTTATCCCTGTATTGGTCAAGGATCAACTGTCTAAGAAAACAGCCTTGGTGCAGGACTTTGTATGATCTTATTAAATTTGACTTAGTTTTGATTTTGACTTTACTGTCTCTATCCCTTTAAAATTTATCCTACAGTATTTTTCCTCTGCATTATGAAAATATTGGGAAATACATCAAAGTAGAAAGACCAAAATAATGATCCATAATCCCATTATCCAAAGAAAGCCACAATTAACATTTGTGATTTTCTTCTACTATATTCTTGAAGCTGTTTTTTTTTAAAAACACAGATAATGGTTTTATATACTCACCATTCACAGAATAATATAAAAACTTCCCATGCTGATTATAAACTCTTCATAATATCACTTTATATATGGATTTACCAAAATATGTTTATTTGTTGTTGGACACTTAGAACATTTCCAATTTTCTGCTATTATAAGTAATATTGAAATGCACAAAAAAGCTTTCCTAAGAGTGGCTGTACCAGTTCACATTCGCACTAACAGTGCAAGAGGGTTTCCCTTTCTCCACATCCTCTCCAACATTTGTTGTTTCCTGTCTTGTTAATTTTCACCATTCTCACTGGTGTGAGGTGGTATCTCATTGTGGTTTTGATTTGTATTTCCCTGATGGCCAGTGATGCGGAGCATTTTCTCATGTGCTTGTTGGCCATGTCTATGTATTCTTTGGTGAAATTTCTGTTCATGTCTTTTGCTCATTTTATGATTGGATTGTTTGTTTCTTGGGTGTTGAGTTTAATAAGTTCTTTCTAGATCTTGGATACTAGCCCTTTATCTGATATGTAACTTGCAAACATCTTCTCCCATTCTGTAGGTTGTCTTTTAGTTTTGTTGACTGTTTCTTTTGCTGTGCAGAAGCTTTTTATACTATACGTTGGCAAATAGAACTCTAATAAAAATATAAAATATGCAAAAAAAAAAAAGCTTTCCTAAGATTTGGAGTTATCCTTATGATGCACTCACTACCAGGAGTGAAATTACAAACTTAAAGAAATGAATGTAGTTAAGCCTTTATTAATATTCTTGGTTTGCTTTCTGAAAGTAAAATTTTAAAAGGATTTTAACAATTCCAGCCGGTCGAGGTGTTTGAAGGCTGCGCTACTACACTCGCACGGTAAGGGCTCACAGAACAGACTGCCTGTGATCAATTAAGACATGAGTCATAAACACCAGGAGTAAGAGAGTCCCTAAGAGAATCTGAAAGTAGACAAACATAGCTAAATTGAAAAGTAGAATGCTCTGAAATATGAGCTGTTTATCTGACAGAACAAGATGAAAGTTTATAATTATGGAAACTAAAATATCTCTTAAGATAGAATCATATTGGCAAAGACCATTCTCTCCCTATTTTGGTTCTATCCTCTTTACCCTCTCTCCTTTCTTTCTTGAGTCCACTATAAATGAAATTCCATTTCAAGGAAAAACATTTTAGGCCATGTGAAAAAGAAAGCTATTAATCATTGCTATAAAGGTGGTGACCATCCTAAAGTCTGTGCATCATGTAACTATTGATTATGGATCAACCAGCAACTGGCACACATTTGCTTAGTGATTACATCTTAGCCTTGACTATGACTCCCCGGATCCACGTCATTTGTGTTTCTCTCCCTCCAGCCTGCTCTTCTTCCTTCTACATTGTCCTTCTCCATGCAACACAGTAGGAAGAGCTGAACCATTTATGAACACCCAACACTGGCGTACACGAGTGTTCAATAAATGCTGCTTGGTAATGAAGATGATGGTGGTGGTGGTGATGATGGTGAGGCTATGTATTTCCTCAACCCATACGTGTCTCTCCATTTTGTTTGGTTTCACTTCCCGCCCCTTTAAGGGTTCCCTTTCTATCACCCGTGGACAAAGGAGATCATTTTAGCATTACTGTTCTCAAAATGAAATTTCTCAGTACTTAAGTATCTCATTAAATCAGGGCATTACTGGTGAGCTTTCCTGGGACATTATACATAGTAAGAGTTTTGGTCTGGTGTTGAACAATACCGAGACTGACCAAGGTTTCCAGGGAAAACTAATATAAGCCATGGTTTGCCTTGGGTTCTCATACTCTGGCACATGGGCTGGGGGTACCCCAACCGATGCATTCACAAGTCAGCACCAAGGTAGGCTGTGGAAATGTACAGAGGGAACCCAAAGAGACTCAGGTTAGCTTCACTGGGAGCAGTTATGAAATTTCCAGAAAGATAAATATTTTGATGTGTCTAAAGCAGTGGTTCTCAACTGGGGCATCTTTGTCCCCTAGGGGATATCTCCTGATGTCTGGGACAGTTTTGATGGTCAGGAGAGATGGGAAGTGTTGGTGCCAGTGACGTCTACTGAGTAGAGGCCAGTGATGCTACTTCCCACCCTACAATGCACAGGACAACCTCCATCCAAAGAATTGTCCAGCCTCAAACCTCAACAGTGCTGGGGTTGAAAGACCTGTCTGACGGGACATCTAATGAACCCAAAGAGAGTGGCCAGCCCTGGGGCACAGACATGACACCACCACTGAAGGAGCCTGAATGGTGCTGTGAGCAGTGGAACCGGAAGGTTCTCCATAAGGGAGACACTTCACAGCAGGGAACCTACGATTCAGGTTCATCTGGTTGATCAATATTCTTAAAGAAGAACTCAAGAGCAAGTTACTTTTTTTTTTTTTTTAGCAAGTTACATCTTAATCTGAAAAGAGACAAGCACAAATCCTACAATGAAATAGACTATATGACCTGGTAGCAGTACCTGGGGCCGGGCACACAAGGCTGGGTTTTGCTCAGCAGGTGCATGTATGTTTGTGTGTAGGCGTGTCAAGGTGCATGGGGCATGGACCAGTCCACATCTCCCGGTGCACCACCCCTGCTCTGAGCATGTGAAGCTACGCTGATCTGCTTCCCTCAGCAGCCTCAGGGGGAAGGTGTGGGTCTCCCTGTCCTTTCCCAGTGTGGCGACTGGGCCCTGAGCTGGCTACATGTGCTGCAGCAGTGTCTAAGCAATTTACACAGACACCTGCATATGAGCCCCCACACATGCTCAGTGCTGGTGAAGAACAGGAAAAGCATCTCCCATAGTCTCACATATGATACCAGAGCATTCCGAAAATGTTTACAAAGCCCTCAACTTTAACGTCCTCCTAGAGCCTGAGTTCCAGACAAGAGTGGAGATAGCGATCTACCATTGCTATGGAGACCGTCACTACTGAGACCATTCTATTCCCGTGACAAGTGCTTGACTTCAGACACATGACTTTGCTCCAGGACAAGGATCTCCACCATCGGTGTGGGTGTCTTCATCTGAGCTCTCAGGGGGGCCTTCTTGCATCATCAGAGGACACGGGTGTAGTTCCTCGGTGGAGAAATGCCAGGGACGGGCAGTGGCCCCTCCAGTGTGCAGACCGTTTCTCCAGGTGCTCCCTCCACGGACCTACACCCTCTTTAACAAAGCTGGTGGGGGGCACCTTGTAAACACAACATGCCTTCAACTGACCCCTTCCTGAGGCCAAGCTCAGACACGACACTCAATGCCACGGTAGACCTGAATTTCTATTGCAAATGGCAGTTTGGAACGCACTCCTGGGGTTGCCCGTGGAAGTGCCGAATGCAGGAGTCCTGACATCTGGCTGCAAGCTGGTTCGGTGGGCAGGACGAAATGGGAATGTGGTTTTGAGAACAATGGTGTGATCTCAAACCAATCACTGAAGATTCTGGAGCCTTATTTCCACATCTAATACCAGAAAGAATGGTATCTTTGCTGCGTAAAGATTTTTTGGTTCAGGTGAGTTGCGAAGGTGCCTCATGAACGCTGAGAGCCAAGAGACTCACTCTATTATCAAAGTGACCCCCCCCTCCCGCTTCCTGCTGCTGAACAAAACAGAACTGGAACCAGCACCATGTGCTTCTCCAGCTGCTGTCAGACACTGAATGTGGAATCCTTTCGACTAAAGTGATCCCGCCGGTTCAGTAAGAAATGCCCAGCACCCGGGGCCCACGGCTCCTGGTGTGTCAGCGATGCCAGCCAGCGCTGGGACCAGGTCTCCTTTAGAAAAGCCAAGAACCATCCTCTGTGTGATATTCTCCAAACCCCAGAGCATTCCTACAGCTTTGGGACCAGGCAGCGCAGGGGACCCCAGGTGGTTAGACTGGGGAGCCCACAGGCATGTCGTCCCCGGGGGACACAGAGCTCGCTGAGCATGGGGGCGCCTGTCTGTGATGGGAGTCCATGCGGAAGGTCACGGTGGTGCTTAGGAAATGCCTCGTGCTGGGGAGACACCCCGAGGTGGGGATTCACACCATAAGATGACAGATTTATAACAGCAGCTTGTCAAAGTGCCAAGAAGACACAAGACAGAGCCAAGCTACGGTTCCCCAGGCAACGCCTCTGAACCCCGCTGCCGGACACAGCCCAGCGGTCCTGCAGCCAGGAAGCAAGGCACGTGGTGTGGTGTCAAGACAGGTGGCCTGGACGCATGGAAGCCACACAGGCTGAGTGACCCTCCACAGCGTCAGAAGTCCAGTCTGGGCAGAGGGCATGGGGAGCATGGAGGGCCACGGGCACAGAGCCTGCTGGAAGGACGGGCAGAGTGACAGGGCGAGGAAGGAGAGGAAGGACCACATGTCCCCTCTGGGTACAGGTGGAGGGAGCCAACACCACTTCTATAACGACTACAGGATCCCCCGGGCTAGGCGGTGTCTGGGTATGGGTTCGGTCTGTGAACACGCAAGCTAAGAAAATTCAAGTTTCTAGATGTAGATGTAAAAATGTCTCACTCCATGTATATTTTGGCTCATGTTAATTTTTGTGACTAAGTAGAAGGATTTTGTGTTTGACATAAGAAAATGTCTTTAATGTGAAAATCACCACATCCCTTAAACTCTTCATGCCCAGACCGTAGAAATGTTAAGTAGCAAGAGGGTTTGACGCTTAATACATGTGTGTCCTTATCTGAATCCCAGTTCTGTTTCTTGGCGGTGGGAATTTGGGACGGGCGGAGAAGTGGTAGGGTCAGGAATCTGGAGGCTTCCTTGTCCCCGGGGCACACAGGACACTGCCTGCATACACTGCAAGCACAGTTTTCCTTGGCCATTCCCGGACCTCTGAGCCGACGTGGGGATGGGCACGGGTGCTGGGGACCCGCAACAAGGGAGGCTGACGTGGACCGGGGAAGACCATTACCATGAGCACGCCGAAGGACCACCAGTCGGCGCTTTGCGTGTGTCCCCGCCGGTTCACCACCTCGGGGGCCATGTACTCTATCGTCCCGCAGAACGAATATGCTCTCTTGTCGTGGTCGATGGCCTCCTTACTCAGCCCGAAATCTGCAAGTGGAACAACACACAGCACCGCCTCAGTCTGAGGCACCAGAACTGTTTCTATGCTGAGTCCTAACCTGCGAGCTTCTGTGTCACATATGTGCATTGTGCTCGGCTGGGCGTCACTTCTCCCACCCGCTCTGTCCTGGCCACAGAACCCGCCTTGGATGCAAGCGTCATCATGCCCCCGCATGGTCAGTTCCCCAAGTCAAGGCCTCCCAGGGATCTACAGAGCCTGGAGTGCCTGGTAACAGGATCAAGAAGCTGTATTTCTTAGAGATTGACAAGGAGTCCCAGGAGTGTGCCCCCATTGAAGGGGCACAGCAGGTGGACGGGCACTCCGGTGTGCAGGTCCGCAGGCCAGGATGCAGGAGCGTGTGATGCTGTTCGGAGGAGATGGGACGGAAGTGGTAGCTCTGAAAGAAAGGGCTGGAAGGGAGTTAGAGGCAGAAGGCTACCGGGGAAGGAGATCCCTGTGGTGAGGCACGTCTGATAAAGGTTGTGGAGCATTTGCCGTGGGAATGCAGTGAGCGCTTCCCGTCTCCCTCCTCCAAGAAATCCTCAATGTGTTCTATCTTTTTCCAAAGCCTGTGCATTAATGCACTTGGTGGGTGAGGGATACAGGGGACACATTGGCTCCAAGATGATGGCACCCTCAGTTTCAGCATGTTTGGGAAGAAGGATGATATCCATCAGTTCCTTCCAGGACCTCATGAGGGTGGAGTAAGGTCGCATGCTGAGCGAGAACATTAAACACCCACGGGTGGGTTTGCTCACTCACAGCGTAGTGGCTTGCTTTGCACATTAGAGTGTGGGAAGGGTTGTTTGTAAACTGTGCCTGGTCAAAATGTCAAATTATCACATATTATTACCTTGGGGTCATGAATAATAATAATAATAATAATAATAATGATTATTGAACCAGAGAAAGCTGAAATGCTGTAATAGAAAAATTTGACATTATAGCTCAAAATGCCTTCCAGCTACCAGGCACAAGTGTGACTTTTGTATGATATGTGCAATTCGTCGTTTGGCAGAGAAAACTTTGAAAGTATTAACAGAATCTTAAATCTCTACCACATGCTGCAAAACTCCGATGGCATGACATTTTAGGCTCCCTAGGACTCTGTGCCAGGAGTGGGTGGCCTGAAGTTTCGATTAAATGGATAATCAGCTTCTGGTATATAAATTCATGAAACATTTCAAAACTCTAACTTTGAACATTAACAAGCACGTAAAACTATTTAGTCGATGTTTATTGCCGGTTACTACGTGCACTCCACCAAGTACTGGGGATCCGTGAAGACTGGGTAAACCCACCCTTGAGAAGACAGGGTGGGGGGGGTATGCAGGCCAGCAACAGAGGGGCAGTGTGACCTCATGGGGGCCACAGAGCAGGGAAGAGAGGTCTCAGGAAGAAGGGGTGCTCTGAGGAAAGAGCAGGGGTCGACCAGGCCCCCTGAGCAGGGACACGCTTCCAGGGGAAGAGAGGAGAGCGTTAGTTCAGGAACAGCAAATCGGTGGACATGCAGGAGTGGGCATGTTTGCACAGGAGGCAGAACCAGGTCAGCAGGGCAGCTCACGGGAGGATGGCCCCCAGAGAGCACCGCAGCCAAAGCCCCAGAACCTGTGAGCAGGTCACCTCCCAGGAAGTGGGGTCCTGCAGAGCTGCTGACGCCAAGGATCTTGACATGGGCTGGTGATCCTGGGTTATCCAGGTGGGCCCCGTGACACAGGGCCCTTCTGTGGATTTGGGGGCAGGGTCACAGAGATTAGGGGGTGCCGTGCTGCTAGCTGTGAAGAGGGAGGATGAGGCCATAAGCTGAGGAATGTGAGCAGCTCCTAGAAGATGGAGAAGGCAGCAAACAGGCTCCCTGGAGCTTCCAGAAAGGAACGTAGCCCCATTGACACCCTGACGGTAGCCCCTGAGGCCCATTCTGGACTTGTGGCCTCTGGAACAGGAAGATGAGAAGCTGTGTCATTGTAAGCCACCGACTGTATGGAGACCGTGACAGCAGCAAGAGGACATGACTACAACGGGTGTCATGGAACTAGGGAGTGTGTTTTCAGTGTCCCCTAATGTGGTGGCACTGGGAGGGGTGTGAGGTTTCAGTAGGAAGGCAGGCTCACATGTGGATTCATACAGGGCAACTGAAGGTGGGAAGGAGGCTGTGGGGTCGGGACGTGCTACCCAGGAGAGCACCAGTATTGCCCTGGGGTGGGTCCTGTGCATCATCATCCTTGAACAAAACAGCCAGGGATGAGAGTCTGCAGGGAAAGTGATGGAAGGTTCTGTGGTCAGGAGGGAGGAAAGGAAGGGGGCCTGGAAAGTCTGAGTATCTCTACATGCCCAGAGGACACACTCCAACATAGCTAATCCCTATGGAAGAAACTTCAGCCAAAAGTGAGACCCATGTCAGCAGATGCTGGTGGGATGAGGGCTTTGGTTCCAAGCTGCTCCCCACATTTACCAGGGACACTTTACAAACCTGTGATCTTGATGTGTCCCTCTTCGTCCAGCAGGATGCTGAAAGAGAGGGAAGAAAACATGCTTTACAAGAGCCCTGGTCAGCTGAGGGTCATGCTGATCTCAAGGGGGCACAGCAGGACAGCCAGGGCAGCAGTCACCACACAGGTGTCACCTGCTACAGGCAGACGTGGGCTTTGGGATCACTGCTTCCCCAGTCAGCAGCTTCTCTGCTGAGCCACAAGTGGATTCCAATCCAGTATTTGGGGTTAACCCAACAGAAGCAGGGGCCTACCAGTCTGAGACTTTCTGTAGCTCATAGGAAGGTTCAGGAAGCCTTCTGACCATCCTGCATGAAGGACGTGATTGAGAGGGCTCAAAATTGCCTTGGTCTGTGGGGAATCTGGAGCCTCTTGAGTTTTTCCTGATCCAGGCAGGTCCTCAATGGCACTATTTCTTCACATCATCCCTCTCTGAGCCCCACCCTGCTTCTTGGGACTGACCCAGCTCTGCCGGGGAAGCCTGTGATACCTTGGGCCCTGGCTTTGAGGAGGCTTGGGGGTCGGCAGGCTTCACCTTACTGTAGGAGCTATCCCACTGGCTGCAAGCCCTCGTCCCACCAGTGTCTGACATCTAGAGCGTCAGTCTGTAGGGGGTGTCGTCCTCACCCTTCCTAGCTCTCCTGTGGGAGGGTGGTCTTCATTGCAGGGCAGAGGGAGATCCTATAAGGGCAGAGGTTGGCCAACACTGGAGGAAGCCCCTCTTCCAGGCCTTGGGGACCCCAGGGCTCCTAGTCTTCTGTTTCTTTTTTTGCTGTAATTAAATCCTATCCCATCAGCTCCTGGAGGGTACTAGCCCAGCCTTAAAGAGACCAGAAGCAGAATGGAGAAAAAGCAAAGCAAGGCCTTGAGGATTAATATGGGATGCCTTCAACAGTCAGGGAGAGTAGTGACATTCTGGCCCACACCAGCATACAGATGGACCTAAGGACAAGGTGCTGAGTGCAGTAAGCCAGGCACAAAACAGGAAACGTGCCTTCTACTCATACGAGGGACCCAGAACACTCAGATTCATAGAGGCAGAAAGTAGGGGGTGCCAGAGGTTGGGCAGGGGAGGATGCGGGGGTGTGAGAGTCTCACCAGGACAGAGTTTCAGTTTTGCAAGATGAAGAGAGTTTGGAAGAAGGACAGTGCTGGTGGCTGCATGGTACACGATGTGAGTGTGCACACGGCCAGAGCTGCACATTTAATAATGGTTATGGTGCTAATTTTCTATTGTTTTTTTTTTTTTCTTTTTACCGCAATTGAAAAAATCTGCCATGGGATTGAAAAAAAAAGAGACCTACTATTTAATTGAAATGTGAAGGAAAATGTTACAGCACATAATTAAAATGACAATTTATCATGAAAGAGGTGAATGTTTTCATCTTTGCTTTTCAGTTATACTTTGGGACCTACCCAGAAATGAGCAGCTTTCAAGATTAATCCCTTACTAATTCTAATTGACAACAAAATCTTCTTTCTTCGACTCTGCAATTAAATATTACTATTTTTAACTGTAAAGATCCCTTTGACCTTTAAAGAGAGAGAGAACCAGGGTGCACGCCCTAACGAGTGCCTGGGGCTCACAGCTTTGAGACCTGCCTCACGCTACCGCTCTCTGAGGGACGCAGCTGGAGTTAATAGGATACTGTTCTCTCCTCGGAGATGCTGAAGATGAGGCCTTTTGAGATTATTTAAACTTTTATTGACGCGTGCAGCCAGTGATGGCGTACTGTAGCTAACTACTGTAGGTAGTTAAGTCAAAGCCACGTCCTTCTGGTGTTGGACAAGTGTACCATGTATGGACATCACGTTGCCCAGATGTTTCCCATAAACGACCACCACATCTAATAAAAATGGCATCAGAGAAGAGCTGTCTTCTCCTCAGCTCGGTGTAGATGGAGGAAAGGCTGTGGAGCATGGGCTGGAACCCCACGGCCCGAGCCCTTGGTGATGAGTCAGCCCAAGTGTACAGGCTGCCTTATGGCCAAAGCTGGTAGGTCCCGCCAGCCTCTACCTTGTCCACCAGCAGTCATGGACCTCACCCTCCATGCGTGGGATCGAATGGTCTCACAGGACAGTGAATAGTGAGTGAGAACATCAGGGACTTGGCCTTTGGGGCTCTGGTCAAGCAACCCTACTGAACCCAAAATGGCACCCACTTGATCACCTTCTTCACATGGCCCACTCCTATGAGTGTGCTCTACACAGAATATAAGAAAAAAACCTCACATGGAAACTGTGATTTTGGAGGGACTTTAATCTTTTAATTTAGAATAGATTGCTAAAATATCCTAAAACATTATAGATGATCGTTGCCAAAGACACGCAAAATCTTATCAGAAGATCTGGGGAAACAGGTGCCACAATCTTTTAGAAAAGCTCTCTGAGAAGCTCATCTGACTTGCCACCTGGAAATGGCTGGTTGAAGTCGTGGCGAGGGCTTCCTAGCCCTGCAGGTGGACAGCAGAGAAGGGACAGGAGCGGAAGAGGCAAACTAGTATTGAGGTGGCCACGTCTCAGGAGTTCCCCACCGTAGGGGAGGCGGCAGCTGAGAAGCAAGGAGGAGTGGGGGGGCATGCCCCCTACCTGCCCAGCCTTACCCCGAACAGCAGGGACACAGCCCGAGCCTGGCCTTTCCCCGACGTGTTCTTATGAGGATCAGGTGAGAGGCACTGGGAATGGCCTATCCCATAGCAGAAGCCACACCTGTTTGGGCACCTTTTCAGGGGCGGGCAGATGGGACCTGCGTAGGAGGTGCCCGCAGGAGGATGGCCCCAGTCTACACCCTCTTGGGCACCCATCTGGGAATCAAACAGAGAAGCTACCAGCTCGGGCAGCAAGAAGTGGGGTGTGGAGGCGGCGTCCTACTGTGTCCTCACTTACTTCTCGGGCTTCAGGTCTCTGTAGATGATCCCCAGGCCGTGGAGGTGATCTAAAGCCAAAGCCAGCTCAGCCAGGTAGAACTTGACATCCTCCTCGGTGAACATCACCTAGGAAGAGAGAACAAGACCGTTCGGCTTCTTCTGTGGCTGGTTTGTTTTGAAGAACTCTGCCAGAGAATGTCGTGAGTCAGCCCCGCAAATGCACTCGAGTCAGTTCTGCTCTGTGGAAGATCACAGGCTCCCCCCAAGATGCTCTGCTGGCTCTTACAACGGGAAAATGAGTTCTCCTTATGGTCTGGAGAGGAGTGAAGGCAGGAGAGTGGTTCCCTACCAAGATGGCCTAATTAGCTTGCAAGTGGGGCACTTAATTCCCTCCTCCTCCTCCCCCACCCAGGAATCATGTAGCACTTGGGGGGGGGGACGTCTTTCTGGGTTGATATTTTAACATAGGTCGTTGGGATGTGAAGTGACACCCCAACATCCCGAAGGCCTGATGAGGGGCTGCTGAGAATGCATCCCGACTCCCTCCCATCTACCCAAAGTGGGCTGAGTTCTACCAGAGACAACAAGTACGTGGTGTAGAGTCAGTGAGGCACCCTCAGCCAGGGGAGGCTGGCTGAGAGGGACCCATGGGTGTCAGGGTCCACGAGTCGGGCATCCTGGCTCAGGTGAGCTGAGGCATATGCTAGGCCAGGTGCCCAGCACACTTGAAAGCCATCATCCAAGGGACACTTTCGTACCTGTGGTGCTTGTTATAATCAGCGCGTACTGTTTAAAGTCACCTTACTAGGAAGCCAGATTGTCATCACAAACCATTCTTTACATTCACCGTGAGAAATCCGTGTCACAGAGACTAGAAGGGTACGTTATCACTGAGCTCTCTCTGAACGCAGACACATGAGGAATCAACACATAAGCAGCAGGCGGCCTGGTACACAGAGTTAGAACAAGGGCCATTCGGGGAACTGGATGGTGACAACGTCAGGCTGGAACAGGTGGAGCACATCCATTCCACAGAAGGGATACCCCCCATCGGGGCCGGGCCTCATGCCCTTTGGTCCTGGGTGGTGACCTCTGGGGCTGTCAACCCTCATTGCCCTTCTGGCCTTTGGAGCCTCCTGCTCTATCTCCTGCGCTCAATGGGCACCTCTCCTGGCTAGTTTTCTTTTCTAAATCAGTTAACATAGTCCACGGATTTACTTTTAATCTGATTCTGCTAGCAATCATATTCTCTCCAATCCGACTTTTTCTGTCTAGAACCACCACGGGTTGTCTGCGGTTCCGTGCTCAGGCACAACAGTATTTCTCTACTTGTCCAGTTCCCAGGGCTCATCTCAGTATGGTCCCCAAGTATAGATGACAAATAGTGTCTGCATAGGAATGAAACACCCACGGATGTGCGTCCTTGGAGGAAGTCAGTACCGCGGCCCACACATGACAGGATGCCGTCCAGTGGCCTTGTTCCAAGAGAGAGCAGAAAGAGGATACTTTCCCATGTTGTTTCTGAGAATCTGGTGCACCCACATTTAACAACTTTACCTTTATTCTGGAATGAATGGTCTTGTGGGAGACACACGCTCCCCTTGTGAGGTCATACAGGGCTTTTGTGCTAATTATTATTGCCTTTTGGTCAAGAAGCCCAACAACGGGGTGTGTCATGCCACATGCTGGGCAAAGCCAAACCCAAATGGCCTGAGAGGGGAAGGGGAAATCAATACTTATCAGGTGAGAAATGGGCAGATGCCAACCGTTCTGCATCTCTGGGAACATGTGAGCACAACAGGGACAGACACCTGCTCCAGAAGGGCTCTTTGTAGAACTAGGATCTGACTTTACTGCAAGGAGCCCAAAATATCAATGGTGCACTGTCTGAGGGACCCTTAAAAATCGGAGGGAGAGAGCATCTCACGGGCTCTGGGACCCCCATTTCTGCTCCATTTTGATCTGTGGTTCACTTTGGAGGTCCATGCAGGATGGAAGGCTCTCCCGGCCAAAAAGTGGGAGGGAGAGAGAAGGGGAGAGGGCAGTTTGAACGCATTGTCTCAGGCCGATGAGCGCGGCCAGGTAAGACTGCCCAGGGGTGGGGGGGGGGTTGGGGGGGCTCAGGGGGGAAAGATACTGCATGGGGTCGCTGAGATTTGAGCCCAGTGCTACTGCTGCCTGGGGCAGGAGAGAGCTCTTCACACTCTTCACATCAACTAGGGGCCAGAGAGCTTTCGTGTGGCCTTGGGTAACATTCTGGACAATTCCTATAATAGGACTGCGAGGTCAAGGACAAGGCCCTGGGTCCAGAAGTGGCCTGCGGTCATGGAGACCTCCTGCAAGAAGACCCGATGGAAAGTGAGAGACGGGGAGATTTCTTCCTCAGCTGCCACTGTAGGGCCCTCTGCTCCCTCTCCACGTGGGGCCGCACTCAGGGGTCAGGGGTCGGGGGTTGGGGTGCTGCTCGGTGTCCCCGGGAGGGCCGTTTGCTGAAAGTCTTCCTAGGGTAACAGAGGGCTTCTCCGTAGGGCTTGTGCCACTTCTTCAAACAGACACATGCATGCACATACACAATGTTCCCATGCACACGCATCCCACACATACCACATAACCCCCGCAGCACAGCACGCACACCACACACTCACAGCATACACAATGACACACACACTCTCACACGCACAGCACACACGTGACAGACACATTCTCACACATACTGACATGGACACTACGTGCACACACTCACAGCACACACATTGACACACATTCTCACACACTCAGCATATAACACTGACACAGCACACACTCTCACACTTACTGACATGCACACCATTTGCACATAGTCACAGCACACACACCACATACAGCATGCACACTGACACACACATTGTCACACATACTGACAGCATGCACACCACATGCACACACAGCGTGCACACCACACACACACTCTCACATACACAGCATGCACACTGACACACACATTGCGCACATACCATTTGCACATAATCGCAGCACACCCACCACATACAGCATGCACACTGAGGCACACACATTATCACACATGCTGACAGCATGCACACCACATGTACACACAGCACACACTGACACACACTCTCACACTCAGCATACACACTGACATAGTACAGTCTCACACACACGGACAGGCACATCGTTAGCACGTAGTGGCAGCACACACACTGCACCCCCGCAGTGCACACTCAGTACGCACACCACACACACAGACCTCCCCCGAGTGCTCGCCATCCCCCTTTGCCCCCAGTACCTCTTTGGAGAGCCGGCTGAAGAGGTCCCCTCCTCGCAGGAAGTCCAGTATCAGGTAGAGCTTTCCTTCTGTCTGAAAGGCTGTGGAAGGAGAGAGGGTTGGCATCCTGGGGGCCCGGAACACGTGCTGCGGTGCTGGCGCTTTCCAGAAACAGGACTGGAGCCGGGTTGGGGCGAGGGGGGGCACTTGCTGGGGCAGAACTCCAGGAAAGGGCCGGCAGGAGTGAGTCTGTTGTGTTCCCCACCTTTATTGAGAGTCTAGAGGGTCACCTCTCTTCGCTCGTCCCCTCTCCTTTGCTCCCCCTTCCTTTTTAACCCCAGAGGGGCTGGAAGATACATGGAGGCACATATCTGCAGTTCCAACCTGCTCTCCTGTCACCACTGCTGATGCTGGGTTCTGGGCACACGAGGGTTGCACTGGACCAACAGCTTTGCTGTGAGGAGTTTGGTTAGCAGCCGGATGATGGCTCCAACCCGGGGTGGACAAGCCTCCTTTCCCTCATTCTATGCAATGTCATATGTCATATGTCATATATGCAATGTCATATGTTCATATGTCATTCTATGCAACTCCAGGTCAGGAAATCCATCATTTGGAAGCATTGGTGACCGGTTGACCCCATGTATCAGACTAAAAGTGAGTGGAGCCCATGTTCTAGGTTTGATCACCGCAAACTAGGTTTATGTTTCTGGTCTTGTCCACCATTTAGCCAGGTGTACCTTGCCCCAAAGGGGGCTGAACGTGCATGTGAGGGTTGAGAGAAACAAACCACTATTGACTATTGATATTCAGTTCAATGTTATTGATGATCTATCATCTGGTATCTATTTTGTATACACAGAAAGTGCGATGTAGGGGGTCCTGATATCCCAGCTGACTTGAAAACTTTTTATTTTCTAAAAGAAAACACCAGAAACATTCTATGCATTAGGGTTTTAGAAACAGACAGCTTCTAACTAAAAAAATCCTTGTCAGAATCGTATAAAGTGAAGTATGGATTAAATCCTCTCTCCTAAGGCTTGACGGGCAGGACAACAAATGTCGTTTGATCAACCACAGAGCCGACATGGAAGACAGCTTAAAAAATCTTTGAAAGATGCTCAGCTGTTCTTCAGGGAAATCCTCTGGAAACCAGCTGAAATGACACATGGGACTGGATCTGACAGCGGCTAACGAGCAGGGGCTGCACAGGTGGCTGTGTGTGGGGGGTCCACCTCCCGGGGCTGCTATGAGTCAGGTCAGACACCTGCCTGTGGCCACAGCCACCTTCCAGCGACTTCACACCCATATTCACTCTAACTAGCTTTGAAAGGATAAGCCACACACTCTCTATGCAAGACTGAGGTGTTTTCTTAGTAACATCATCAGAAGTTAACCAGCAGAGAGTGACAAGCCTCTACCCTTCCACCTCTGGGCACAGCTTACACCTTTGCTTCCTTCTGATTTGTGAAAATGTCATGGACAATCCCCCACACCTGGAGCTTTGAAACCAACGAAGTGGGTTTTTTTTTGTTGTTGTTGTTTTGGTTTTGTTTTATTTTCTATACTTCCCTCATGCTAATTATTCAGTAGGGGAGTAAGCGTGAATGCAGTCTCGCGCCCCTCATTCATTATTTTTAATCTGAAGATTTCACTTACTGCTTCCCCGAGGAGAGAAATGGAAGAAAGCAAACTCAAAGGAGTTTTGTGGCCACAAGAATCACAATCATTTTATTGTGTCTCATTTCTCTTCCAGGACATGGAAACAATGACCTCCCTTGAAAGAAAGTTTTGAGGGTTCAGTGAGCTACTCTCTTTAAAATGCTTGAAACACAGTATTCACTTGAAATATAGAAGGTGATGCCATTCTGGTTAAAGAAATTATTGGGCATAAAGCATTTTACTTTAAAACAACACAAAAATATGTCATAGATTCACTCCAATCTAGGCCAAGAGTCTTTCTTTTCTTTTCTTTCTTTCTTTCTTTCTTTCTTTCTTTCTTTCTTTCTTTCTTTCTTTCTTTCTTTCTTTCTTCTTCTCTCTTTCTTTCTTTCTTTCTTTCTTTCTTCTTTTCTTTCTCTCTCTCTTTCTCTTTTTCTCTCTTTCCTTCTTTCTTTCACTACTTTATCAATAATGATTTAATCAGTGACAAACTATAGCCCCTCACTTTGGTTTCTGGTTAAAACAGGGCATTTTGCTCCCTCAGAGAGGAAAACCGCAGAAGTAGTAAGTAGGTTATGTTTTACTCTATTTACCATAATGAAGCTTTACAATGAAAGGGTGATTCACTTCTGCCAAAATGTCTCTCTCCATCTTCGAACGGACTCGGTCCCGAACTGCAAGACAGAAAAACACAGCCTTTCAAGAGGCAGGAATGGTGTTCTAGAGAACTCGGAATATGAAACATTAGCTACAAATAACTGACCCCCTTGTTTTGTTGCAATAATTTCCAAGCAGACATGAAAGTTGAAACAGTAGGATAATGATCACCTTTGAGTCATCCACCTGGAATCGACTGCTGTCTGCTCTCTGACACATTTGCTTTCCTTCTGGGTCCTTCTCTGTCTCTGCGTGTGTGTCTCTCTCTCCACACATACACACACTGCAGCCAAAACTAACACTAAATCATGGACCCCGTGACACTTGACTCCTAGGTATGTGTGCAAGCAGCATTTCCTGGGAGTAAGGACAATCTCTTACATAACCCCTGACCCAACTGTCACCTCAAAGAAACTTAACAATCATTTCACAACGTCATCTGATACCCAATCCACGTTCAACACGCCCCTACCATGCCATGTACAGCTGTTAGTTTACCCAATGTGGGATCCAGACAAGGTTCACACATCACATTTGGTTGTTATATTTCTTTATCTCAGAATAGAACTATCCCATGGTTTTGTTTGTTTGTTTTTGTCATGTTTTGTGGATTTTTTGGGAAGGCCAGGCCAGTTTCTTGTAGATTGTTTCATATTCTGGGTTTGTCTGATTGTTGCTCAACTGGTGGCTCTAACTCCTTTATTTCTTGTGAACTGAGGTTAGGGCTGGAGGCTTCATAAGACTAAGGGTCTTTTTCAGCAAAAGTCTCTCCTAGGTGACACTGTGCACCTCTGATTGCAGCAGGAAAGGTGTGCATGTTGCAGTAACCTCTCTATGTGATGCTAAATTTGATCAAAGTGACAAATCACCAGTCTTTTACTGTAAGGACCCATATGTCCCTTTGTAAGTAATGAGTAACCTGCAGGATGATATCTGGTATTAGCCGGGGTCCCTGACACTTCTTCCTCCAAGAGTGTTAGCATATGCATATGAATGATCCTTGCTTGAATCATTTAGGGTCACAAAATCGCCATCTTCTCATTTCTGGCAGAACTGGAAATCAAGAAGAAGATTGCTTCTCTCTGTCCCTGAGGATACGCAGGCACTAGGGATTTTTTCCAACATTAGTGTGTTTTAATCAATTACATTATTAATGGTTTTAGTGCTGACGCTGTCCAAAGTGTAGCCATCTGGGAACGCAGCTGGAATTAATTTTGAGGCAAAAATAAACCGGCCAAAAAGGCCCACCACTTGAGAATAAGAATAACCCCAAGATTCCCATAAGCAAATTGATACACCAGGGGCAGTGACCTTGTGGCGCCCACGTGAGCAGAGGGAGGGAATCTCCTCCAATGTTCCTACGAGTGACCCATTTAAGTGTTGTGTTACTGGACCAGGCATTTAATCCATCTATGTTCTGGCCCTTGTGATGTGCAATTTTAAAGTTTTATTTAAGAAATGCTTCCCAAAGAATGACTGTAATAAAAGAAAAGTGGGGGTGGGGGAATGACAAGCATTGGAGAGGTTGGAGCAAGAACTTGGGACACCTGTGCCTGAGCTGGTCAAATGTGCCACAGCACAGACTCAGTGGAACACACCGTGCCAGCTCCTCAAACAGGTGGACACAGCTCCGCCGCGTGGCCCAGCCATTCCACTCCTAGGTTTACATCCCCAGGAACTGAAGACAGGAACTCAAACGGACAACTTCACACCCCACGCTCATGTTCACAGCAGCATTACTCACACGGCCAAGGGGTGGAAGCAGCCCGAGCGTCTGTCGATGACGAACAGATAAACAAAAAGTGCGCTCTATCTGGGCAGCGGAGTGCGATCGCTCCTTAAAAAGTAATAAAATTCTGATGCACGCCACAGCACGAGGAACCCCAAACACATTACACGGAGTGAAACAAGCCAGACACGGAGGAACAAATACTGTAAGGCTCTATCTCTTTGAGGTCCCTACAGTGGTCAAACAGCAAGGGACGGAGCCAGGTGCTGGGAAGAGCTTCTGTTTGCGATGCTGACACAGTTGTGGGTATAGACAGTGGTGAGGACGGCTATACCAGGTCATACTCGCTGCGAGTGGATCTGATGCCACTTACAAATGGTTAGAATGACCGATATGACGTTATGTGTATTTTACCACAATCAGAGAAAAAAGAAGTCCTGTCTCACTCCTGGTCACAGGACAGCCTCCTACCTTCCCCTTTGTTCACACTGGCTTTGCTTCTGCTTCAGGTCCTCATCCCCTGGAGCCCCCCTGCGCCCCCCCCCCCCGCCCACAGGGGCTGTGTGCTGCCTGCCTGTCTGGGGGGGCAGGGGGGCCTGCTGGGGCACAGTGGCCTCGGAGCATGCATCCTGCATCCCAGCCGTTGCTTATAGGGGGGTTTGGCCTTGGAACCCACCCTACGGGGTCGTCATGGGGACGAGGAGGCAGCCTGTGAATCCCCCACAGCATACGGTGCTTGTGCTCCTTTGCAGGGTGGGCTTTACGGGGGAAAACCTCGGGGCTTTCTTTGACCTTCCTCTTCCGTTCCACTGCTGGTCTGTTCCCTCACCAATACCAGACCCTGGCAACTACAGTGACCTCGGTGTCCCTTGGTCTCTAAAAGGCCCACAAGTCAGTAGAGAGGGCCATGGGCAGAGCTACAGGTCGCCCCATGGCACCTACTGGGCCCGGCCTTCCCTGCACCCCTGCAGCCCCCAGACCCCAGGACCAAAGCACCAGGCAATGGGTGTGGGGTCTGGCTTGTCATCGTCCATGCTCCAGGTGACACACAGTGGGTCCTCTGCTGGCTGGACCAATGGAATGGGACGTCACTGCTCACAGGGCCCTGGGGAGCATGCCATGCAACCCTGCATTTACGGGAGAGCAGACGAGGCTCACTGTGGAGAGAAGCGGTGCTCCAGGCCAGGGCTGGCGCATCCCACAGGGGCGCAGTGCCCTGTCTGTGCTGCAAACAGACTCTAGCCCAGAGACCACAGACCCCCGGGAGATGGAAGGGGAACAGCACTCAGAGTGGAGACAGTCACTGGGCCTTTTACTTATGCAGCCTGTATCGCTGAGCCGTGAACCCCGAGTTCAGACCCTGTTTTCCTCATTGGTCATGGTCATTGCGTGCAAGCTCTTTAGGAGGTCGTGTTGCAGAACTGAGTCTTGCCTTTCCTGTTTATCATTTGTGAGTCACTGTCAAGTGAGCAAGGCCTTAACCAGTGTCCTTTCTCTTTTCTACATAAACAGAAAACAGGCTGTAGGATGGCAGGCGTGGTGGTGGCACCGAAGGCAGAGCATGGGCTCCTGGTAAGGCGAGACAACACTGACCCTGGACAGGGCTGGTCCCCTCACTCCTCGGAAACGGGACAACAGGATGGCAAAGGCACAGTTATCACCGCCTGACCTCGAATTTCTTTCACCTCCGAGCCCTGTCCTCCTGCTCACTCCCCATCTGTGGTTTGTGGGTCTTCTCTATGCCGCATGAGCAAGCAAAGCTGCCCCGTTTGCCCCCAGCAAGTGAGAGTTGGGGGGCTGCAGTGTGGAGATGGCAGTGAAGGGAGCCCCAGAGGGCCTCTCTGTGGTGTGAGAGCCGGGGCCGGTGGCCAGAGGGCAGGGGGACACTTCAGGTGCTCATGACAGCAGAGCCATCAGCTGCAGGCATGTCATGTGAGTGACAGCAGGGCCACAGGACTGTCCTTCTGAATGCTACCTGCCGTGTGGACCCACATGCGTCACCACGCCCCAGGCCTGGGCTGCCTCCTCACAGCGAGGAGCTCATCGATGCATCCAGCCAGCCTCCTGGAGGTGTCCTGTATCTCAGTGGAGTCGGCCAGGCTGACAAGGTGGCAGGCTTCATACCCCCTGGTGCATCTTCTCCCGGGAGAGGTCTCTGTTCCATTCACCACCCCCGAGGAGATCCGGGGAAGCAGAGCAGCTAAGGAAAGGAGCCACTGTGTTCCCACACCCAACTAACCATCTCTTCGAGAAGTTTGGTCTTCCACGCTGGTTCAGAGCATCTAAAAATCATCTAAATAGACCGATCTTACTACTACTGTTTCAGATCTGTTTGGCATGAGGAAAACTGCTTAGCTACATAACCGAATACTGGGTTGGTGACGGAAACCAGAGGCCTTAAGAAGCCTGGTGAAAAAATCAGAAAAAGATCTTACACTTAAATTTCCAAGGAACTGTTAAATTATAGCAGAAAAAAAATTTTCCTCCCTATATTTTACACAAAAATAAATCCCAGATCAATTAAAGAATTAAAGGTTAAAAAAATCAATCCATAAAAATAATAACAAAGAGGAATGCCCATCTGATGTCCAGGTGGGAATCTGTTTAATAAAAGCAATGGGGAAATAATGGAGGGACAAAGGAGAGATGAGCTTCAAATGTCCCCAGACTGGCCATCCAAAAGGTCGTAGCAGCAAAAGGCAGCAAAATGCGTAGAGGTGCATGGAGCAAACAGAAAGAGGGCCAGGAGCCTCCGTGAATGCAGTAGCCCTGAGTGATTGTGAAGACAGAGGGAACAGCTCAGCTGGGACATGTGCACACACACGTGTGCTGTGACCATGACTCCCAGGTGTGCGTGGGTCCTTCCCCGGGGCCGGGAAATAGGCTGTGTTCACACGGGGCTTGGTTTGGTCAGTGCTGAGACTGCATCCCCGACGGTGCCATGTCCGGGGACCTGCACGCTGAGCTAACAAGATGTGGAAGCGCAGTGGTTACACGGAGCAGGGCCCCTCAGCTGCAGACAAGAGGCAGGAGCTGGCATCCTGAGGGGCTGGCCCGTCGATCCCCAGGTCTGCGGATTCCGTTCAGGTGTGCAGAGCCCACGCTCCACCCTCATCAATGCCTCTTCTGGCCCTGCTGGTTGCTCTCGGGTCAGAACCAGGGATGGCGGGAAGGGCCTATACCTCCAGCTTGGCCACCTGGCTCGCAGCACAGAGTATCCCTGCATGAAGAGACACGGGCATGGACAGCAAACGGGTCACTGTCTGTGCTGTCTTCAGGCTGCCTCTG